CTCTTACAAAAACCGCACTATTCTATTAATATACCCTGTTGTTCTCCGCTACAGGTTTCAGCTTTAATTCGATGTCGAAACTTTGAATATAAAACATTTATAAAAAAGTAAAAAACCTTTTAAAATTAAACTTTGTAAATTATTACTCAAATGTGTGCTTACATTTAATTAAATAAGTTTGCGGAATCGATTGATGTAGTATAACAAAATAGTTATTTTTCATTTATAATTTTTTATTACGTTTTTATAGAATGGAAGCCCAAGTTCAATATGAAAACTAAAGTTCGTGGTGATATAAAGAAGGTATCATTGGAAGATAAAAAGTTGTGCAAAGCAAAAATTTTGGTACGTTAATAATAGCTCAATATTGTTCTATCTATCCCTTCTTCCTTACATATGTTTTTTTGATTCTTTGATTATATAAGAATATGTCAGCTTGTAATTATATATATATTTATTCGAATTTAAAGATAACATTGTAAAATGTGTAAAACGACAAAAAATAAACTAAGAACTCACAAGAACCTTATATAATATCTTAAAACTTGAATGTTAGCGTTGAAAATCAAACAAATAGTCAATTATAAACAAAATAAATTTTTAACTGTTATCCGGTTTACAGTATCCCATGTTGTATTTTAAAAGTTATCCGCACGAGAGTTCGACGGAAGCAAACAAAAGATCAAATAGGAATCATTTTAAAGTTCTCTCGATTGAACAATTATTTACTTTTGAGTTTTTTTTTTAACTTATAATACAAAAGAATATATAATACATCTTTAAAAAAACTTTTAAAAAATATTTGTTGTATTTTTAGTTTGAATATCCTATAAACTATTTTTCTAACCCTTTGTGAGGGGTTTAAAACCTTTATATTAACTTTGAATATTGATTGTAATTGTGTTTAACATTTAATGTTAATATATACGGTTATATTCATATAATAACCATGACACGAAGCCGCGTATAAAGGCCTTCGGCTCAGGCTCATATGAATATAACTATAGCTGTACTAACATTAAATATTACACAATTACAATCAATATTTTATGTGAAAATAAAACGCCAATGTTTTTCCTACTTGTATTTACATTAGTATAACGTTAATCTAACTTTAGAATTTTACGTTAATATAACGTTAATATCTAACGTAAATCTAACGTAAGAATTTTACGTTACAAAACCTTTCCATTTGCCGAACCGGCAATGTTATACTAACATAAAATCTAAAGTAAATAAAACGTTTATACAACGTTGTGTGCCGGCTGGAAATCTGGTTTTTTGGATGGAACAGTAGTTTGATACACAATGTTCTTACTTAGACATTGGTTTTTCATAATGCAGGTAGATTTATTGATGCAGTTGCAGGTTTTTGTTGCCGTTTTTTTATGATTGTATAAAATATTTTGACTATACGAACTAATGACTGACTTTTGGCATACACGAGTCGCTAATTTTAATTGTGTTTCTGTTATAATATTTGTGTAATAAAACATTAACAGGAAACCTCCCGACGGGCATTTGTTTTTAAAAGTTACGATTTAAATGTATTTTAAATGTCTTTTAAACGTCTTTTAAACATTAATGTTTAAAAGACGTTTAAAAGACATTTAAAACACATTTAGAACGTAACTTTTAAAAACAAATTTCCGTCGGGCTTGCATCGATTATTTTTAAAAAGTTTACTTATTTTTGTTGCATAATTTTTTCTCTATGGGGGATTATACCAAATATTGTTTCGTTTGTGACTTTCGTTTTAAATGGGTTTTATATCTGACTGATATTTGAGCATGGAGCAGAAATCCAATTATAACAATACATCCTGATAAGAAGAAACAGCTTTTTCAAAAATTTCTTTTTTTAAAGATGCAGTTGACAATCTTAGTTTTATTGTTTGCGGTAGACTTTTTAATATGCATGGAGGGTGGTTAGAGTTGGCGTGTATATAATTAAGATTTTTGTCGGGCTTTGAGTAAGGTTGGAAGGGACTGTTGCTAAGATTTAGTGTTAAGTTGAGGTAATTGACAACTTTAATATTACAGCTGATAAATAATTGGAGAATATCGCTTTTAAATATATTTAAAATTTGCTTTTTTTTTTTTTTAATTAGTTGGCAACTACGATTTTTAAAAAAAGCTAGATCGCCATCCCGATATAAACCTAATTCCTTCCCGTTGTAATATTGATATAGTTGGTACAACAAAAAAATTCCAACGCTAAGTAGTTTTACATTAATCGTTGAGTAAAAAATTATATATATATATATATATATATATATATATATATATATATATATATATATATATATTTATATATATATATATATATATATATATATATATATATATATATATATATATATATATATATATATATATATATATATATATATATATATATATATATATATGTATATATATATATATATCGGATCCAGAGAGGTTCAAAGAGTGCTTCAGCACCCGCCAATATTGAACAAGTAAAGTTTCCTTTGACGTTACATTTTTTTTAAAATAAAAATTGAATTGTTAAAATAGTTTATTCAACTCAAAATTTACGATTTCATTTTTTTGTGAAGGAAATCGAAAATAAATAAATAATTATCTTTGTTGTTGTGTAGTACATTGCGTTCAGCGCTAGCGTATTTTATATTTATGCTTCGACTAGGAAACTCCCGTACAGTCGCCAGTCGCATTCTGATTCGCCTGCTCCCCTCAGAATTATTTTGGATTGGCCTGCACCCCTCAGAAGCTATTTTTGATTGGCTTGGTTTCTTAAGCTAATCAAAACAGGTTCTGAGGGTGTTGACCCAATCAGAAAGATCTCTGAAGGATGCAAGCCAATCACGCAAAAATCAGAAAAAAGGTTTTTCACAAAGCTTTTGGTTAACTCGTAGGTTAAGTACTCTAAACATGGCGGATTCAATGCTTCAAATCATTTTAAAATGTATTTTAAATGAAAATAGGGTTAAATCAGAAAAAGGAATCGTTTTTATCTAATGTTATTGTCGAAGCTCATAATAAGATTAGAGAAATATTTTTGTTTAATGAAAAATCTAAACTAAATATATTCCATAAAATATGCAAAGTTTCAAATATGCAGTTTTCCGTATCTCAATCATTTCGAGAAGAAAGTGATTTTCAACCAGTCAAGTAATAATTTGTTTCTTAAATAGTTATATTAAATAAAAAATAAAAAAACAAACGAAGTATTTATGTATGTGTGTGGTTGTGTTGTGTTAATTAATGGTTAAAAAAAATCAAATTAAGAAATCATGTATATTAGCTATACAAAAAGCTATACTATAGCTTTTTGTGCTTAAAAATTCTACTACAAACTTTTTTATTTAAGCTGAAAGATGTGTGAAATTTTTTTCTAGGTGCTTAAAATTAAAAAACTTTTTAATTTACTTTTAATATACTTGGTTTATAAACATTAAAAATGTTTATAAACCAAGCTCTAGTTTTCATTTTGAACCCAATAAATCAGGTCGTTCCTTTTAATTCTCTTGGCTCTCACTATACTCTTGGCTTGCATATTCAGAAATAAAAAAAGGTGCTTATTGTGTTAATTGTGTTATTTTTGGATCTGAAGAATCAAGTCATAATGCAAGTAAACTTGTTTAGCTTTATAAATCTCCATTTGTGGCATATTCAAGTTTAATAAACATGCTGAAAGTTCACCAAGTCACCAAACTGCAACTCAAACTTGAATCTCAACAAAGTAATTGATGAACAAGTCAAGAAAAATAGAGAAATATTAAAACCAATAGTTCTAACAATTATTATGTGTGGAAAACAAAACATACCTCTTCGAGGTAACAAAGTTAATTCATTTTACTATGAGAATGAAAATAGTAACTCTGGCAATCTTCAATCAATTTTGAAATTAATATCTGATTGTGCAGAAAATAGTTTGATGAATGGGCGAATTGCTACTCCAAAAAATGCTACATATCCCTTTGAAACTACTCAAAATGAGTTGATTAGTATTTATAATGACATTATAGTTTCTAAATTGAAATGTGAAGTTAAAAAAGCTAAATTTTTTTCAATCTTAGCAGATGAAGCATCTGGTGTTATGAATATGGAACAAATGTCACTTATATTATTTATCCGCCTATAATGAATAGCCGAATGAATATTATTATTAATGCGCGTAGTTACGCGTATCGTTTTATAGTTACGGTACGGTTCTGTATCTGTAAAATACACTTTTTAAGTAGTTTCTAGACTTTTCTTTATCGCGTGCTTTTTTAAAGATTTCCTTTCAACCTTTCATGGTACGAGTTCAAAATGTCTAAGTTGACATTAAGTAAATAATGTTTAGTAGCTTAAAATTATAGGTAATCTAAAATTTTTTTTAAATTTAAAAGTAATTAATTTATTGTAATTTTTTTTTAAATTATAATTTTAAAGTTAAAGCTTCGTGTTATAATTCTTAAATGGTGTCTAGCGTTAAAATATATATATGGGTAGTTTCATGCTTTTACTTAGTTTTGGTTATTGGGATAAAAGATGACAACATTTTGTTATAAATTTATCTTAATTTAACTTTCATTGAAAATTTTGTTATAAATAAAAATTATCTTTAATATTGTTAATACTTTTGCTCTTTGAAAAAAAATATGTTTCTGGATCTTCAATAAATATAAAATAATTTGTCTTGCATGAATGAATTTTGGTTTAAAATTTAGTTGTGTTATTTATGTTTGTCTATCTGTAATTTATTTATGTTATTAGAAAATTCATGTTTACAGAGTTGTTATTATTCATAATCGAGTTGTTAAACCAAGGAAACTGTGGAGGTTTATTTATCATATATACTATATATATATTATATAATTATATTGGAGGGAGTAAGTTTAAAAGCATTTTTAAATTTTTAAAAAGAAATAAAAATACTTTTCAATATATATCTATTTTTTTTTGAGGTAGATTTAAAGTTTCAGGTTTTTAAAATCATATATATAAATCATATATCTTTGTTTTTCTATTTAGACGTTGGTAATAATATTGAAACAAGTAAGTTATAAAGCATTTTTAAATTTTTTTAAACAGTAAATATATATATATATATATATATATATATATATATATATATATATATATATATATATATATATATATATATATAACAGTATATATATATATATAACAGTATATATATATATATATATAACAGTATATATATATATATATATATATATATATATATATATATATATATATATATATATATATATATATATATATATATATATAAATATATATATATTTATATATATATATATAAATATATATATATATATCTATATATATATATATATATATATATATATATATATATATATATATATATATATATATATATATATATATATATATATATATATATATAAAAGAAATAAAAATACTTTTCATTATATATCTGTCTTCTTCGAGGTAGATTTAAAATTTCAGATTTTTTAAATCATACGTTTTATAAGATTTAAGAATGAGTCGATTTAAATGTTTGTTTATTTTTCTATTTAGACGTTGGTGATAATATTGAAACAAGTAAGTTATAAAGCATTTTTAAATTTTTAAAAAGAAATAAAAATACTTTTCAATATATATCTGTTTTCTTCGAGGTAGATTTAAAATTTCAGGTTTTTAAAATCATATATATTATAATACTAAATTCTTTTTTACTTTAAAAATATCTATATTATAGTTACACTGAGTCGTAGAAAAAAAATTAAAGTTTATCAGTAAGGTAGTAGATTATTAGAGTAGATTAAATTGTTTAATCTATTAATCAACTTAATAAAGTACTATTAAAGTAAAGATTTATTTTGGTTGTTTGTTTGTTAAAATTTAGTTAGAGTTTATTTAAAATTTAAATTCTTTAGCTAATCAAGAGAGATCTAATAAATGTATTAATTACATTAGTTGAATGTAGCATTTAATATGTATTTTATCGATATTTTAACGTCTAAACATTAAAGTGATTTTATTGTTTAGATACAGAAATGAAGAAGGAATTAAGTCAGTGTTTTTGCTATTAGATATTTGTTAATAGGAATTTGTTTATTTAAACTTCAACTGGAATTTTAAAAAATCAAGTTCTTTAGCTTTTTTTTATACTTTCTTTTAGGGGAGTTGGAACAAAAACTAAGTATAAATTATGATTAGTTTAGTTTAATATATAAAGCATTAATATTTAGAAGATTTAAAGTTTACTTTAGTTTATAGTTTTGGTTTAGTTTATTGTTTTGATTTTAGCTTTAGTTATTTTTTTCTTACTTTAGACAATTTTATGGATGAAATGAGGAAGATGGGTAAAACAATTGTTTAGATATGTATATATTTATGGGAGTTATAGATAGAATTGTAAATAAGAAAAAGTTTATCAAATAAAGTAATATATCTTTACATGACAGCAATTTAGAGGGAAAATATTTATAGAGAAAGAAAAAGACTAAAAAAAAAAAAAGACTAAAAAGTAAATAAAAAATATATCGGAAAATTAATTAGAAAACCAAAGTACTTAAAGTTTAGAGATGTGTAAGGACTTTATAGACTCAAATAAATATAATTAAAGAACAAGATACATTACAAAATTAATAAACTAAGAGAAAGTAAAGAAAGAATCAAGTTAATGAAAGAAAAAGATCAAGAGTTTTTTTACGTTTGTTTTGATTATTTTTTGCTTTAAATATTATTTGTAAATTTAAGTATTTTCGAGGATTTATTTTTAATATTGACTTTTTGATTAATATTATCAGCAGTTATCATTGTTATTATTATTATAATTAAATATTTATTATTATTATTAAATAATATAGCATTATTTAACCTATATCTATCCATTATTTACCTCTCGTTACATTTTACATCATAATTTATCTTATATAAATGTTATTTACCTAATATTACTACTTATCTCCTTCTTTACTTATTATTACTTACCTTATTATCATCAAATTATTTAAATAACATATATTATTTATACTATACTATGTCTAAAGCTACTAGAGGTATTAATATATCTAAATTTATATTTTAAATCAAGTTAATAATATTCTAATTTTATCTAGCTGTAATAGTTATTCTCCTGTGTAAAGTATTTAAATCTCTTATATCTTACTATCATTTCTTTATAACTGATCATTCCTCAATATTTAAAATAGCAACCATTTCTAGATTAACATTTCTTAGTTTTAATCTCTATATATTAGATACCTTTATTTAATTATTTTTTCTCTATACTTTGTTTAAGCATAATAAGTCATGTTATTAAAAAATCTTTGTAAATTCTGCAATAAAACAGTGGTTGATAGCCATAAAGGAATTCTATGTAATTACTGCTCTTCTTGGTTGCACCCTAAATTTAATTATATTAACAAACACACCTATAGCTTTATTGAAAAAGATTCCACTGACTGGTATTGCAGTGACTGCATCAACAAAAATTTGCCATTTTGTTCACTTTCTTATTTTGAGCTCTCTTTAACTTTATCGTCTCAGACTATACCAACCAATAGTTTAAAAGCTCTAAAATCTCCCCCTCACTTCAAAAAATTATTCAATAATATAAACAAAATCTCCAACAAAAGTATTAACTGTAAATATTATGACATTCTTGAACTTAATAAAGTTGTTAATAATAATTGTAATTTATACCTACATCTAAACATTGCTTCGCTCCCTTATCACATTGACAGTCTTCACAGTCTAATAAGCTCTCTTACCACTCTTCCAATAGTAATTGGTATCTCTGAATCAAGACTAAATATCAACGATTCCAGTAAAACTGATATTAATATAAATGATTTTATTATTGAGCATAGTCCTACTGAGGCCAAAAAAGGTGGTGCTCTTCTATATTTACGCCTAAACTTAAACTATTTTATTCGTAGTGATCTAATAGTATACTCTCCGAAATACCTAGAATCTATCTTTGTTGAAATCGTCAATCCCCTAAAATAAAATATTATTGTTGGCACTATATATCGACATCAATGAACTCTAATGAATTCATTACTGATCATTTTAATCCCTTGCTTGAGAGGCTTAGTTTAGAAAATAAACAAGTTGTCCTTATGGGTGATTTCAATATGGACTTGTTAAATTATAATGAATCGAAAGTTATATCTAGTTATCTTGATACATTATGTTCTTATTCTTTTTTCCCTTCTATAATTCAACCTACACGTATAACTGCTACATCTAAGACACTCATTGATAATATCTTTTTAAATTTCCAAACTCCTGATTTAATTTCAGGCAATCTTACAATATCGATTTCTGATCATATGGCACAGTTTATCTGCATTCCTTGTCTTTCTTCCAAAAAAACTAAGGAGGTAATATTCAGACGAACCTTCCAAAATTTCGATAATAAAAAATTTATTAAGGATATCTCTAATGCAGACTGGCAAATACAAATTACAAATAACAATAATGTAAATGAATCATTGCACTATTTTTTTAAAACTTTTAACAAAATTCTTGATTAACATGCACCCTATAAAAAACTAACTGCTAAACAAATAAAACTTAAATCAAAACCTTGTTTCACCAATGGAATTCTAAAATCAATATCTATTAAAAACAAACTATATAAACAATATACAAAAGCAAAAAATCATAACATTAAAATTCATATTTTTACTAAATTTAAATGGTACAGAAATAACATTTGCAATTTACTAAAAACTTTCTAAAAAATCATATTACATCAACTTTTTTAACAATAATCTTTACAATGTAAAAAATACTTGGAAAGGTATAAAAGAAATTATTAATATCAAACCTTCTTCCTTTTCCAGTAAATCTATTAATCTCAAATTTAATGGCAATACAATTTCAGACAGCAAAGCTGTATCAAACATATTTAATAATTACTTTGTAAATACTCAACAAACACTGTTAACAAAAATTGTTTCACCTAAATTTAATTTTTCAGACTATTTAAATAACCCAAATATTAACTCCAGTCACTGAAAATGAAGTATCAAATCTTATAAAAAGTTTACAAAGTAAAAAAAGTTTAGGTATCAATAGTATTTCCACGTTTCTTCTCAAACTTGTTTCCCATATCATCTCAAAGCCTATCTGTACAATGATAAATAGCTCTTTTGAAAATGGACTTTTTCCAGATGTCTTTAAAATAGCTAAAGTTATTCCACTTTATAAAAAAGGCTCTAGAACTGACCACACTAACTATCGCCCAATTTCGCTACTGTCAAACATCAGTAAAATATTTGAAAAAGCTATGCACAACAGACTTTACAACTTTTTAGATAAGTATCAATGTCTTTACAAACACCAATATGGGTTTTGAAGCAAGCACTCCACAACGCATGCACTTATTGAAATCACTGAGGTTATCAGAAAAGCTCTTGACAATAAGCTTTTTGCTTGTGGTGTGTTTGTTGATCTACAGAAAGCATTTGACACTGTTGATCATTCTATTCTTCTAAGTAAACTGGAATACTATGGTATTAGAGGAATTTCTCTCCAATGGTTTACCTCATATCTTTATAATAGGTTTCAATTTGTATCTATTAACGGTAACACATCTCCTTTAGTAAAATGCACTACAGGTGTACCTCAAGGCTCTGTATTAGGGCCATTGCTTTTCCTTGTTTTCATTAATGACCTTAATTTATCATTAAAATATACAACTTCCTACCATTTTGCTGATGACACTAACTTACTTTTAATTAATAAATCATTAAAAAAAATAAACAAACATATTAATTATGATCTATCTAATCTAATTCAATGGCTTCGATCTAACAAACTGTCTCTGAATACTAGTAAAACCGAAATTGTCATCATTAAATCAAAACAATCTAAAATCAGTAAACACCTAAATTTTAGGCTGAGTGGTCAAAAAATCAATCCAGTAATGTACCTAAAGTATCTTGGAATCAAAATTGACTCAAATTTAACTTTTTCTCAACATCTTAAAGACTTGTCAATAAAACTATGTAGATCGAATGGGATGTTAGCTAAAATTCGTCATTATGTCAATCTTGAAGCGCTTATTAATATATACCATGCCATTTTTGGATCACATCTTAGGTATGCGTGTCAAGTTTGGGGACAAATCCGCACCCAAGAAATTTTAAGATTATCCAACTTACAAAACAAAGCATTAAAAATAATATATTTTCAGCATTATCAATCTAACTCCAATCATCTTTATTTTTTATCCAAAATACTCAAAATTGATGATCTAGTTCAACTATTAAATTGCCATTTTGTCTTTAATTATAAACAAAAATGTCTACCCAGCACATTTACAATTTTTTTTACTGTTAGAGAAAGCTGTCGCTATCATCTACGATCTGCTAATAGCTATAATCTTCATGTACCAAATCATTCTTCTGTAAAATATGGTCTAAAATCCATAAAATACCAAAGTGTAAAATCATGGAACAGTCTACCCTCACCATTAAAATCAATTGACTCAATTACTAATTTCAAAAACTGTCTTTTTAACTATTTTTTAGCAAGATATTATACCTGAAGACTCTGAAATATGTTGTTATGCTTTTATTATTACTACTTTCTTGATATCTACTAGTTTTATTATTAACTTTTTGTTCTCATATTTTTATTGTTATTATTAGTATTGATATTATTAATATTCTTCTATCTTTATTAGTAAATTGTTATTTTTATTTATAACATAATAAGTATTATTATTGCTTTTTTAATTTTTTCTTAAGTTTATTTACTACTTATACTATGTAATTGTTATTACCGCTATTATTGCTATTATCTAATATTGATTGTACAATATCTTTATTATTATTGTTAGTATTATTACTAATAATATTCCTTTTCATCGTCATCTTATTATTATTGTTAATATTATTTCTATAATTATTATCAATACTGTTATTATTGTTATTATAATCACTTTTATTGTAATGTTGTAGGTTTTTACTTTAGATTAGTACTTGTACTATTTGTAAAAGTCCTTGAAATTTTACAACTTATTTCTGAATATATGTTAACATTATTTTATCGATTATTTTATATTTATTTAAGTATATATTTGTCTTTAGTGTCTCGTGAAAGTATAGCTGGTAGGGCTGTGTTTTATATTTTATATGTTTTGTATGGAGAAATATGTGCAATAGGTGGAAAAATTAATTAATAAATATGGCACTTTTAAACTGGTTGCATTATTGCCCTATATTTTTATTAAAATGCAAAATGTTGCATGTTTAACCCTTATTAATTAGCTCTCTCTTTTTTTTATTTTTAGCATCTTCTGTTTCGAATGAAAATGGTGAGGTTATGCTAATTTTTTTTTTAAATAATTGCAAATGTATAATTTTTATTATATTCTTCTATTTGTAACTTTAGATTCCTTATCATTCAAAGATTACAAAAATTACCGCTCCCAACACCCGGGTTCTCTCTCAGAGAGGTCCTTCAAAAAATGGAAAGATCATGGCGGAATGGATGAGCCCTCCTTTGAATGGAGGGCTCATCCATACCGGGGTGTTGGGAGACACCAAAGAAAAAACAGCAATCAAAAGGTTGTAAAAATTCTTATATCAGTAGAGATATTTATGACTTTTTAGTTGCTGCTTTTTCTTCAGGTTTTATTTTTTTAATTTTTTAATTCGGCGTTTGTTTTTTTTTTGTAATTTTTTTTTTAATATATATTACGTTGAATATTTGATTTGTTTTGATCTTTTTTAATGACAATTTTAATTGTTTTCTTACCAATTAAACCTGACTTCAAATTTAAAGCCCTCTTAAATACCCCTCCCTAAAATCTAAAGTCAAAAGTTGAATTGATTCATTATCCAATTATTATAATATAATGATGCTGCATTTTTTTGTTAAAAACAATTATTTGGTATGTTTCCATTATTGAACTCACTGCTTTTAAAATTTACTAAAACCCAAGGCAGTATATTTAGCTATATAAATACAATTAATTTATCTCGATTCAATTTTTCATCTTTTATGTTTATAGTTTGGCTCCTTAAAGCAATTTTTATTTTGCTTTTTTTATTATGAGTATTGTTTGCTTTTTTTATTATGAGAAATTCGTTGTGATGTCTTTTAAATTAAACTAAAGTTTACTAAAAACCAACATAAAAATTACGTTTTTGAACGACACCAAAAAGAACAGGTGCATCCCTACAGCAACTGTTGCAGTATCACAATAGGTTACCAAAGGCAGGCATACTGTTTTCCAGTTGTTGTTTTTTTTTTCAATTATATCTACTTATCTATATAATACTACAGTACGATTGTTTATATCTAATTCATTTCTTTTTTTCTTAATCTTTAAGTGTTAATAATTTCATTCTTTGAATGAGATTAGTTAAACAAGTCGGCTTTCCATTAAAGATATTGGTTTAAAAACTGAACACCATTGGCAAAATGCTTACAAATTTAGGTAGTTTTTAAAAATCTGTTTTCTATTTAATACAATTTTTTTTTTAAATATACTTTTTAAATATACTTTTTTAATATACTTTTCTATAACAATCCTACTAATATGGAATCACGTAGCTTTTTAAATATGTTTAATTGTCGTCCCTATCGGTAATAAATATTTTAAATTGTTTAATATGGTTTTCTTTACAATAGGCTATGCTTGGCTCCTCGGTGCTGTAAATGGTGGCTTCAACTTTGTTTTTTTAAGAAAAATGTGTTTTATATATGCTTCTGTTTTAAAATATTTTTGTTACATATTTAACTATATATCATGTAAATAAATTTCTTTTAAAGATATGTAAACTTGATACTTGCTTTTTTACGGATTTTCAAAAAGTGAACAAAGGTTTAAATATATTTTTTAACTGTCTTATATGATTTTATCAATTTTATTAAAGCTGAATAATTACTTCAACAATATTGAGTAAAATCCAATTGCTTTTATTATTAACCTGATCTATACAAAAATTAATGAAATAAAACTAATAATTTAACGCCAAGGCAAGGCAAAATGTATTCCGGACATTTTATAAAATTAGTATAAATATGGATTGGATGTAAGCTGAAATATATTGATACACGTTAGCTATTAAAGTAAATCCATATATTCCTTTATTGTTTTTTTATAAACAAGTTTCTGCTGGATTACTAATTAAAAAAAATTTGGTTTAATAATAATCTTTATCATAATAATATAGGATCCGTATGCAGGGCTAAGCCCTTTTCGGAATTGCAATATATTTTTTAACTTATAGTTTTTCCAGATATCCAACTTCTATGCCTACAAGTTTGGGTGTAATATTTTAGAGGTTTTAACAATATTTAAAAAGTATATTAATAATATTGAAAAGTTTAGGTGCGATAGTGACATATTTTTAAGCTCTTCACTCAGTAAAATGAAAAGTTTCTAAAGAAAAGAAACGACTCAGCTTAAAGCAAAATTGAGAGTAGAATATATTCCCAATATTTACCTCAACAATTTTACGGAATTTGAAAATTTGACATCGATGTTTTGTGCATATAATTCAAGTCATTTTTAACTACTACATGGTTGCGATTTGCGTATTCAATGTCTGAACATTGCAAAAGAAATGGTTAACTTTATCTTTAATGAAGCTAAAAGTCTCTTAAACTAAATAGCCAAGAAAAATAATAGTGAGCTCAACTAAAAAAATGTATAAATAAATTTATATTTCATTAGAGAAAGTAAATAAAGATTAAATTGTTAGTAATTTTTTATTTACTACTAACCCGTATTACGGGTTGCTTACTGTATAAATAAATTTATATTTTATTAGAGAAAGTAAATAAATATCAAATTGTTAGTAATGATTTATCTACTACTAACCCGTATTACGGGCTGCTTACCGCTAGTATTTATATAATTATAGTTATAATTATAGTTTAGTTATAATTAAAGTTAAATTATAACTGGATTTAAAAATAAGTCTGTTATTACATTTTTATTTATATTTTTGTGGAATATCCTTGTAAAATAAATGGCCCCAGAATATCATGAAATTAAGAATATCATGAAATTTTTATTTTATTACTGTTACATAATTTTGTTTATAAACAGTGTTACATAATATTATTAAATCTATTCATTATTATTAATGTATTTAGTGTAAAACTATTAATGTATTTAGTGTAAAAAATGTATTTATTATTATAATGTATTTAGTGTAAAAGTTTATTATTATTGCTATTATTGTTATTATTGTTATTACAATTTATAAATAATTATTGTGTTTAATTATATATTTTAAGTTTATTCTGTGCATAAATTTCTTATATCATAGTATTAATAATTATTTTTAATAGTGAGTTGTAATACAATTGTGTTATAATTGCAATATAATGTGCATGACACAGGTGTTTTTAAAAGTTAAACTAGACTTTATATATTTTCAAGTTTCTGTTTAAAGATCATATAAGAAGCAAATTTTGAGTTCCATTGAAACTAGATTTTTATACACAGTTTTTTTTATCATTTCTTCATTTTGTAACTATTCTACTTTTTTATTTTAGTTTTCCTACTGTTGAAATATGGTTTTAATTTAGTGAAGTTTCATGATTTGAAATTTACTTTATTGGTCATATACTAACAGTTTAGAAAAAGAAATTTAGCATGGATATAAAATTGATATTATTAAGAATTGTAACCTTTCTGATCTGATTATTTAATCAAAATACGGACAGTTTAAAGAGTATAAAAAGACGGGCAGACAGGTAAAAGACCCAGAGGGATATACCCTTTTCATTTGTTAAAAAAGAGGTTGAAAATTTTTTAAAAAATTGATGAAAAATATAGTCAAACTACGTAGCCTTGAAAACCTCTCACACAATGAAACAGTCAGATATAACACATTATACATTGAAGGAAGCAATAGTCAAACAAGACCTTGGGATAATTGTTTCCAATGATTTAAAGGTTAAAACTCAAGTCAAAACAGCAGTCTTGATTGCAAACCAAATGCTTGATTGTCTCAAAAAAACTTTTCGAAGCCGCATACAAATTTTATGGAAAATACTGTACCTTGTATACATTCGTCAACATCTAGATTTTGTAGTACAGGTTTGGTCTCCTCACCTAAAAAAAGTCAAAAGACGTGAAAAGAAATCAATATCTGAGATAAACATCTACCATATGAAAAAAAGATATGATCGCTGAAACTAACGTCTCATGAGGATCGCAGGAAAAAAGGTGACCTAATCCTATAGCTTAAATTTACTTATCAAATTAATGAAGTCAACTTTTATTTCATTCAAACCCTACTAAATTCAACAAAAAATTACTTTCTACGTGGACTCAATAAGCGACTTTTGCCTCAGTTAATCAATTTTGCATGTAGATCACGCGGGTAAAACCACAGATGTCACATTTTTCTCAATTTAATGAATATAAAATTGAAAAATAAATCTAGTTGTTCTGCCAAATACAAGAATTATTCATCCTCAGTTTTCATTTGACAACAATACTCTCAATATGAATATCTGTAATTTTTCCGTTGTAAATTAAACTACTCATAATCCACCTTAGCTTGTAACACCCATAGTTAACAGACCGTTTATATAAATGTGTTTTTTTATTCTTAAAGCAATATAAAATAAATATTTTAGTATAATTATCAAGTAATGTTACTTTTTTACTTTGAAATGGTAAGCTTCAATGATTCTAAAGAGGCAACAGAGCTATTTATGTTTGTTTCAGTTATTCAAGCACTTCAATCTTTGATCTAAACATATTGGATGAAGCGTATATATAAATTATATATTTCCAGTTTTCCGTGTAATTAAATTAAATCTAGCCTTAAATATTTCAATTTCACTAAGTGAACTTATCTTTAATGAACAAATAACCAAAATGTTTATTTTTTTATTATCTGCAAATTTAAGAAACTTTTCTAGTATCATGTTTAAATTTAATATTTAATTTTTCTGGATTTTTTTGAGAGGTCTAGAAAATACTTCTCCAGCCACCTAGTGTTTTTGCTAGAAACTTTTGATTCGTTATTAACATGTATCTGTTGCATTCTGTAGAGGTATCACACCTATTCAGAATGTGACTGAGTTCTAATTGCAAATGAAAAAGTAATTTTGACAAATTTTTCAGTTTTATGAACTAAATAATATAATTAATATAAATTTTTCCATTTCATAACTTGCCTAGACATATATTGCAAATCAATTTGATAACCTTTACAAAAACAGAGCGTTTAATAATTAAATTTAGAAAAAACAATTTTTAATGGAACTTAAAGTTTCATGCCTATTGGCAATCATCAGCCATAAAGTACAAAATCAAAATTATAAAAAACCGTTTAAAAATTACAGTAGAATGAGTTCTGACCATATATTATGTGAGTCCTGATGATATATTATATAACTAGATGTCTAACTTGCAGGATTTTATTGGACAAAAAGTAAAGCCGCTTTTTTTTGTTTATAACAATAGTCCGCGATTTGTAAAAAGGGCAAAAGCTGAAGCCGAAGTGTAGAATAAAAGTTAAAAATGTTCCCAATAAATTGAAGATAATTCAAAAACAAGTTTTAAAAATTATAAATTACTTTTAAAAGTTTTTTTATGAGCCTATGTTTATTAAAAAGTATTTTAATTCATAAAAATGCTTTAAAATAGTAAGACGTTGTACTTTTTTATTTAAAACTTTAATTCCTTTTTATTCGAAAATAAATTAAGGAATCAGTTTATTATTTGATTATAACTTCCGCTTATTACTTTTATTTAGCAGGTTGTCTCCTTTTTAAAATAATATTTCGAATTTCTCGTTTAAACAAAGCTTTGAAATTTTTGAAGCAGGATTATATAATTTACATTGTTTAATAATACTCCATTTCATTGAAGATGTAAAGTTGTTTTTTTTTATTTCCCATACTTCCTTAGACAACTCAGTGTCGTTCTTGTACTTTTTTATGTTGAAGGATTTTAGATGATTTGCATAATGTAGCTTAAAAGAGGTTTCGCTAATCCCAATATATACTTTGAGATAAGCGATACATTATACATTGGGATAAGCGATACATTATACATTCCGGTATATAAGCGTAAGCAATAAGCGATACATTTTACATTACACATACAAGCGATACATTTTACATTGGGATAAGCAGTAAATTATACATTGATAAAGTTCAACCATCGTTATATATATGAACTTTTTGGCTAAATTTATATTCACATTTTTTTTAACATTTAATTTTATTTACACTTTTTTCATAAATTTTAATAAATGTTTTTTGAACAAAAAACCACTTTTAAAAGCTTTAATCCGCATTTATAAAATAATAAATTTTCAATCATTCAATAAATTCTTTAATCTACAGTAATTTGATGAAATGACATATTGGAACATACCTTTTTTGAAACATATTGGATGCTGCTCTGCAAGGAAAACTAAAAACCCTAAATAAATTTAAAAAGAAAATATAAATCGAGCGCAAACTGTAAATTATTTGAAATTGAAACTTTCAGTTTTTTTGAAAAAAATTAGCTTTCTTTTTACTTTCATATCGAATTCAATTTCCCAAGGGATCCAAAAAAGTTGTAGTTACTAATTTTTAAACTTTTTCTTTTATCAATACACTAACCATTAGAGCTAGGACAATAATTCACACAAATATTTTATTAAAAGTTGAAAATAACGTAGCTTTGTTGAAAAAGCAACCTAATTAAAGCATTAGCGATATAAATGAAGCATTAGCCATCTCATTAAAGCATTAGCAAAAACATCAATGCATTTTTATAAAGTGCTAAAAGCAAATAATGAAAATTGTGACAACATTTTGTGAATTGATGTTCGTGACTAACTTCTAGTAAACATCTAAATGTAACACATCTAAATGTAAAATGTTCTAAGCTAAGTTTTTCTTCTTTGACTTCAGTCAAAAAGTTAGAAAAAGTCCAGATGTTCATAAAATAGAGTATAGTTTGACAAAGCTAATATAAGCTACAATTCCTGTTAGCGTTAAATGTTTTTTAAAGCTATTATTAAGGCTATAGGGAGAATAATCCATCATTAAAATATATCTCAATGTTATATAACTAGAAAAAAACTCATGTATATCAAATATTTAGACTAATTCTATTTTTATTTAAAAATAGAATTATAATTGAATAATTGAATTATTGAATAATATAGATTATAAAATTTATCACCAAACAATTGTTTAAAAATGAGTCATCCTGGGTCTTATAGCAGATATATAGTAGATTAGTATAAAGATTTCAAAAATAGTTATAATTTAAAAAAATATATACATATATATAATTTTTTTTTTAAAAAAAAACATCCCTTTTTTTTTAATTGTTTTAAATAACGTTACATTTTACACAATAAAATTAGAAACAAATTTTTTTTTTGAAAACAATATTTTAATAAAATGTTTATTATTTTTAAATTTGCATATAATTTTAGGCAACTTACGGAAATTATATTTAGATAATTTACTTTTAAAATTATTCAAAGAATTATCAAAGTTTTGTTGCAGCAAAAATAATTGATAAGCATAGAATCAGTGCATAGACTCTTAGACAATGTGTACCAGATTTTCTTTAAGCTTGCATTCAACACTAAAACTTTATACTATTGTAAAAGCTGCAAAATAGAGTGTTACGTTCAAAATTCAATGGCAAAATAAGTAAGTGAATAATTCTGTTTAGAAGAGCTCAAATATATTTTAATTTAGAACTAATAAGTTAAACTGCACGTATAACTTTGCTGTGAACTATTTGTTTGTAAAGCAGAATAAAATTTAATTCTATCCAGTTGTTACTTATTTTTTGAAAAATTCTAAACATGATATTTAGCCTAAGATATTCTTTTTTTGATGATTATCGTTAAATTGATACATGTTTTTTCTATGAACTTCAAAAGAAAAGCTGTGGAGTAGATTTAGGAATATATGGTTAATATCAATATAATTTAATATTTCCAAGATTACTACCAAACTAAATATAAAAACTGCAACCAAAAAGTAGATATCTAGATGGCAGCTTATTGAAAATTTAATATTGACAGAAAATTCTATGTACAAAATATAATATGTTGAAAATACTATATAGAAAAGCAAGTTTACAAAGAGCATTTGAAAATTAAATATTGGCAGAAAACACTATCTATAAAAAATATAAGCTCAAAATACATAAGTTTGTCTCGCTAAATATACACAAAAACATTATAAAAAATTAACAAAAAACAGCAGCTGCAAGTTAATATTAACTTAAAAAAACAATTTAATAATGACAACTGTTCCGGGACCAGCAGGCCCAGACGTCATTAATATGACATCTGGTGGACGTCACAAGTCTGAAGAATGACTTCAGGGCATCCAGTGGAAATTCTGAGGAGTCAGAGGTTAACACCATAAAAAAAAAGTGTTTTGATTTTTGGAATTATTTTTAAAAAAACAAATGAGTATCAGTTTACATTTTCTAAATATAAATGGATTTGAGAATTGTAGAGATGAAAAAGCTCACTACTTTCTTATTCCGGATTCTATTCTTTATACCCCCTCTAAGCAATCAGAAAGAGTACGCTTCTTTTCAAGACAAGATTAAATGGTAGTGTCATCAGCAAACAATTCTACCTCAGATGTGAAAATTTCAGCTAGATTGTTAATGAAAATTCAAAAAAGTATAGAGTCAAGGCTAGAACCTTAAGAAATCCATGAAGTAACAAGAAATTAAGAAAAGTGCTGTCCGTTGAAAACAACTATTAATAAACTATTAACGTTTTAATTTTAAAACAAGATATATTCAAACCAAATCACTAAGCGTCAACTTTAACCCTTATTTTCCAGGTTTAATTTCACCTTAATTCTTAGCATTTTTATCATGGATGTTTTTTGTATCAATTTATCAATTAAGAAATAAAAAATATACAAAATAAAAATCATCATAAAAAATACAAAGTTTGCTAAACATGTTTGTTGTCTTCAAAGTCTTCAGTACTTTATTATTTAAAAGTATTTAATTATTTGCAAATATTCTGATAACATTTTAATTTTTTTAATTAGAACTATTTACTTGCTTTATACTAAAAAATTTTATCAAGTTATTATTTTTATATTTAGAATATTATTTTTTATCTAAATATAAAAATGTTTTTAAATCAACATTAAATGTAAATATTAACCTGCAAAACTTGGACCAACAATAACACTTAAAGTATACGCTCCAAATAATATCGAAAAAGCAAGTGCTATATTTGTATCATTTGACTGATGAATGACAATAACTTTTGAAACTAAGCCAGTCGCTAAATGAATAAAAAATCTTTGCGTGTTTTTATAAATTTAACATCTATTATTTTTATCAACATTTATTTAAATCAATTACTAAACGTGCGAATAATACAATTTCATCCCTAGTTAAACTACAATTAAATGTAAAAATAAAAAAATATAAATAAGTTTATATTAGTTTTATTCTATTAAAATAATAAAATATGATTTTAACTTATGATATTTTTTTAATAATATTTAAATTATTATTGCTTTTTATATAGTAATACTGGCGTACAAAGTTCTGATACAAGATTAAATACAGATATAAATGAAGGTTAGCTTAGTTTATTTCTTTAATAAGTTAAGGAACTTATAGCAAAAAATTTCAAAGATGTTAATATAAAGTAAATCTCTAAGACTTTGAGTAATTTGATTGTCAAAAGTACAAATAGATAGTTCAGTAGGCTATATACATAGTTCACACAAAAAAAGACAATAAATTTGTAAATATTTTAATAAAACAGGGTCCTAAAAAATATATATATACACAATATTTCAAGTAAACAACAAAAGCAACGCTTTATTTTTGGTAAAGTGTTTGAACAGATTCTTTATTCAATTTAAATACAACGGAAGCATTTAAATACCAGTTGTTGCTTTTTTTAATAGCAAATTATTATCAGGTTTTTTATTTATAAATTTGTCACACAAAACCTATATTTAAATTAAAAAAAAACACTTCTCTTTCACTCTATTTGCCTCCCCATAGCTTCAGGGTCACTACTGTTACGGAGGCTAAGAGTTATGTATTTTTTCTCTTGATTATTAATACAACCGTTTCTGAACCCTTAAATCTAAAACACTAACAACAAACAAGATTGCCGTATGGAGAAATATGTTGTTCACAAAGCAAATGCTCTAACACTATATTACCCACTATACTGCCCTTTAAACTTTCAGACTTTCAAAAGTCTGAGAGTGGGCAGAAAACGCTATGTAACAAATTAAAACACTGGTGATAAGTTTTTTTAAATAATACTTTCTCATGTGCTTATAACACTAAAACATAAACTTTATAATTCGGTCTTTGAAATAAGAAAATAAAAACTTAAGAGTATATTTTATATAAGATGAAATTTACTTAAACAATTTGCTCTCTCTTCATTAAGAGAGAGTAAAATAATTAATTGATTAATAATTTCAGCAGAGTTATCATCGTTAGTTAGTTACTTTGTCTATTATGTGACATTTAATTGATTGCCTATTTATATAAATACTTGAGTCACTATTATTTAAACTAAAATGTTTTTTCATTGTTTAGACAAACCATTGGAGATTATTATACTAATTTTATCACTTTTTATTATAATTATAATACTCATTAAAGGGTAATCATTGTTAATTAATGATAAAGTGCTTGAACTTTCATCAGGTAATGTTAAAACTTAGTTTAGTATTGATCCGAATTACGCTGATGAACATAAGGTTTTTGGCATAAATGATTATATTAATTAAGATTTAACCAGTTATTTCTGGTGGTAAAAATTAATTTTTTCCGTAAATTTAGTTACGTTTATCAGACTATTTATTACAGAACATGGTCAGTTTTCTGTTCTATTGGCAAGTTTAAAATCAATATAAATCATAGTCAAACCTTTGGTAGGATTGATAGCAAACTATATGTTTTATGTTCAAGCAAATTTTTTTTTCTCTTTTTTATTAGTAAAACTTTCAAATTGATTTTTAAATGTTTTTTTTTTATGTGTATTTTATGTGCTTTGGTTTGTGTGTTTATGGTCCATGTGTTTCAGTGTGTGTCTTTGCTTATTATTATTTATACTATATTAAAAATTGGTGTCACTCTATTGATCAGATTTATGTATGAGTGACACCATATTAATAAATTATTAACTTAATATTAAATTAATATTAGTTAGTATTATTATTTATTCATTGCAGTTATTGTAAACATACTTATTATTACCATTACTATAATTTGTATAATTATTTTTTTTATCTTATACTATTATTATATTTATTACTATTATATCTTATACTATTATTACTATTATTAATATTATTATCATTATTATCAAGACTATTGTAAAATGATTTAAGGAAAATAAATAGCTTTTTGTTGTTGTTGCTGTTGTTGTTGTTTCAAAAATGTAGAAATTTATTACATATTTTATGCAAATTATGAGTTTAGCTATCATTTGTACCTTTATAATGTTTGTATTGCCATGTTTTATAAAAGGTGTTGCTCGGCAATATGTAAAGCTATACTTTATTCCTAGCCAGCCGAATGGTGTTACTATATAATGGCATTATTAGGAAACATTTAGTGTGAAGTGGTGTTACATTTGTAAGGTTAATAACCCTGACTGCCTATCTAAAACATTTTAAATACGAATATTGAACTTTTTTTAGTTAGACGTTGGTTATAACTTATCATAAGTTTTAGCATCCGCATAAAATTTTAGGAAGTTTTATATAAAAGGCTTTTTTCCGAATGTCAAAACAAAAATAGAACTATATCAGCATCTTGGTTAAATAATCAGCAGTTTTTAGCAATTATTTCAAAATATATTTTCCTGCACTAAGGGTGTTTTTGATTGACAGAGCAAAATTTTATAAGTGACTTCATCAGCGATCGTATGAAATCTTTTTGTGTTGTTAACAAAAACCCAAGATAATAATTTAAAAAAACGCAACTATGTAGATACATTTAAAGTATATATATTGCACAATGTTTTTTAAATTAGAAATTAAATTGCTGTAACTCTTTCTTTATTTAAGTAATATATAGTCATAAAATACCAGTATATAACATAAAATGTCTATTAACTAAAATTTTGTGATATTAAACACAATTTCCTAAATTTGTTTTTTAGTTTTTTTTATTTATTCATTGTTTTTATATAAATTTATAAACAAATGGATGAAAAAAATGAATCTTATAGTTACTCAAACCATTTTTTTGAAAATTTGCTTTTCAACCAATAGAAGCTTTTTAAAAATAATAATCTAGATTTGACCTACTATTCGGTTACAATCTTAAAAATTAATTTAAGTAAGAATTTTTATTAAAATATTTCTAACAAATTAAAAATGCTAATATTATTTAGTTCTATCTAAACTTTTTACCAGTAAAAGTGCCTTGTAAAAATCTTGTAACTAAAGCCCAATAAAATGAACGACTTAATCCAAACAAAAATGTAGAAATAATTTGAAAAACTCCTAATATAACTAGAAGCTTCTTCGGATCAATTTTGCCAATCAAATATCCCCAAATTATTCTAAACAGAAAAAAGAAAGTTAATTTAATTGTCAACTTACTAAATAAAGATAGTATTTAAAATTAGAAACCTAAAACTAAAGTATATATATATATATATATATATATATATATATATATATATATATATATATATATATATACATATATATATATATATATATATATATATATATATATATATATATATATATATATATATATATATATATATATATATATATATATATATATATATTTACATATATATATATATATATATATATATATATATATATATATATATATATATATATATATATATATATATATTTACATATATATATATTTACACATATATATATATATATATATATATATATATATATATATATATATATATATATATATATATATATATATATATATATTTACATATATATATATTTACACATATATATATATATATATATTTATATATATATATATATATATATATATACATATATATATATATATATATATATATATATATATATATATATATATATATATATACATATATATATATATATATATATATATATATATATATATATATATATATACATATATATATATATATATATATATTAGGGTGTTTCATATTTTATCATTTTTTGAAATCGAACTAGCGAATCGATTTATAAATTGAACATTTGTATGAAAATAAGTTTGAGCAAAAAAAAATTAAAAAAAATTAAATTTTAGGGTCCCTGCCTGTTCGATTTTGGGCCAAAAATGATGGGTGTTTTAAACGCCTGGCGGGGACCTTGAAATTTTTCGAAAAACTTTTTTATTCTTTTAAATGTTATATGTTGGATTGAATATTAATCACATAAATGGAGCATGTTGAAAAAATTAAGAAATTAGTCTACAGAATCTTCTGAAATTGGTGAAAAATCCAAATTTTCCTTCATAAAAATCTATTTTATCATTCAATCGCGTATAAAAAACGTTTTTGATTATCTAATAAACTGTTTCCAGACGCGGAAAAATCAATAATCTAGATTTTTTTAATAATAGTGTCAAATGAGTTATATATAGGTCTTAAAAAAAAAATTTATTTTATCCTTCGAGGTAACCTAACCCTTACGCTAACCTTAATAGCCTAATAACAATTGTTTATTTTAGTTATTTTTATAATAAAAAAGACTTAATGAACTTACTGCAACATGGTTAAAAGTGCTATTGTTGTTATTAGTTTTATTGCCTCAAGATTAGAAAGTATATGGTAGCTTTTCAACTTTAAATGATTTTCTTGGTATTGTTGCAAAGTGTTTTTTGGTTTTGCAAAAAATCAAAAAAAAAAAAAGAATGATATGTTTAAGTATAATTAAATAAAAAATACATATTTATAAAACCAATATTACATCATTAAATAAAAGCCATCAAAAACTATATTATCTATTTTGCAATTGCTTGATATGCTAATTGCAAATCTTATTTAGTCTTTGCCTTGATAAGGTTTTCTCTCCTTTGGTGAATAGCTAGCAGTAACTCCTGTCAATCGTCTTCATTGTGAACATTATTTACAAAGTCTGATACAACTTTAATAGATCTTTCAGAAACGTCGTTAACCACTGCAAGGTTGGAAATAAACTGGGAAAAAAACTTTAACTGTTTAATATACTCCCATAGTGGTGCCGGGCTGTTTAACCAAAGTTTATCATTTAGCTTAGTAAGGTTTAACAAACTAAATATGAACCAAGAGTTTTCTCCCACTAGTTGGGCAATACTTGGTGGTTTTTCTAGGTTAAAGTTAAGAGTTTTTAACAAATTTAATTTCTCGGAATGCCAAAAAAAAATTCAGGAACTGGTTTCGAAAAGAGCATTTTTGCAACATCTTCTCTCTCTGCAACAGAAATACCTTAGTCTAGAAGAGCCAGCGGAATTAAAGTTTTATCAAGGTACCATAAATGTGATTCCATTGAAACCATTGTGGCATCAATTCCATTTAAAATTGTTTCAGAATTCTGAACATATTGTTCTACGTAACCTCTATATTTTGTCATTTGCCAATAGGCTTTTATATTTTGGTAAGGCGCAGCGTAAGATAAAGAGGTTTTTAAAAACCAGACGGTATAAAAGATTGAGATAAACTCAGCCGTAGACTGCACTTCGTTCTTTTGATTATCTGTCAATTCATAAAAAAGTTGCAAACTCAATATCTGAATCTTGAGATAATAAATAGCTTTGGACATAAAACGTGCATGAGACACGCACCCTGGAGCTTGAATTTGAAAATCTCTTTTAGGGCATAAGTACATTAGAGTCAGTTTCAATAACTCATTGTAGTCTCCTCTGAGAAAAGTGTTTTTTTTTTTAGAGCAATCTCGCAATATTTTACAGCATCGAGTCTATGGATTTCTAAGAAAGTGGTAGCAATAGATTGGGTATCATATTTTACAAACTTTGAAGAGTCAATGCTACTTTTAATGTCACTCCAGTTTAATTTGAACCGTTTAAACATTAGGTTTTCTGGAGATTTAGTTTTTCCACTGCACTGCCTTTCACAGAAGTGTTTTAGATGTAACTCATAAACATGCCTCCTGCAAGCCAGCTCTAGTAGAATTAGTTTTGTTTATGACTAAACCTGACATTTGTACCAGAAAGTCTTCCTGTATTTGTAGCAGTTGTATCAAAACATAAACCTTTCACGTCATCACATATTCCATACTCATCTAGTACTTTAACTAAAGCATCGTATTGAGCTTGTCCAGTACCACGATCAATTCCTGGAATGCCAAGGAGCTTCATTTTACCATCAATATTTACCGAGACCGCAAATCGATCTCTTTTTGATTTTATACCTTCTGTGATGTCTTCGATAATTTTTCCATCAAAATGTGCTATTATGGGAAAAGTAGTTTTAGCGGTAGCAATTTTTACATTTTTCTTATATTGTTCAGCATTTCCCGCCAAATATTTGAATGAGACACTGAAAAATCAGCCAAATTTCCGCCTGAACTTACGATTAAATCCGTACATACCTGCACTAGATCTCTTGATGAAATATTTTTTGAGACTGATGTCATGGCAATATCTTTAACAAAACCTTTCCTTAACTCTTGTTTTGCGTTACTTGGGCCGGTTGCGATAAATCAAAAGAAATATCTGGTTCTGTACTCACGTCACTGATATCTGAGAAAAGCTGTAGATCTGTAGTTGATTCGTCTATTTGAGGTAACTGTTTATTATTACAACTTTTTAAAGGCTTCTTATCTTTATTTACCGTTTTATATCTCATGTCTTTGCTCCCCAAAGTCATTAGACGACTTGACTATTGGTCTTTTAAAAATTTGATATCAACATAGTATGAAAGTTTATCAAGGCTCGTTTTTTTCCTTAATATTATCTTTACCAGTCCAAAATACCTGCTCCCTCTTCTTTTTGAATTCTTCCCTAGATTTCTCTGCTGCTTTAGAGTCCTTATTCTTACTTTTCTTTAATGTGTCCCAATTATCGAATAAACGAGTAATATTATTCCTGAAAAAATTACAACAATACATTAAATAAAATAGAAATATTAACTTTAAGATACACCTTATATTTTGTATTATTAAGCTATAGTCCACACGTAATAACAACTAAAAAAAATTAGTTGTAGTGGTACTACAAAAAAACCTTAATCATCTACTAGCTTATTAAGTTCAAATGATTATACAAACTTATAATAACTATTTTATTATAAATTGAAATTATAAAACTTACCTTATAGATTTATCCGTTATTAATCCATCTTTATAACCTCCGTCTAACCATGGTTTTTTTACTGCAAAAAAAGATAAAGTTGACAGGGAAATTGACAATTCCGGAGCACTTTGCAAATTTATCGGGCCCATCAGTACAACCAATAAACTTTTTGGATGGAGTTAACTTGATACTAGATCTTTTAAACTGAAAGTTAAGAATTAATTCTTCATTTGTTGCAAAAGTTTTCTGAGTTAAGTTTTCAATCAAGCTTTCTTCTTCAAATAAATAAGCTCTAGCTTTTAGTCTCGTAATTTTAGCCATTTTGAATATTATTCAAAAAAACATTAGAGCACTTATTATTAGTAACGCAAATTTAGTTTAAATACTTTGTCTTCGCATTGGAAAGTAGTTGTTAAACTTTATATTATTATTTAAGTACCTTGTTATATACATTTTCTAAAAATATTTTACGATCAAATTTCCGGATTTTAAATTTATTGCGCTCTAATATTTATTATTTTGGGGCCATTAAGGTTAGTGTCCGGGGCATGTTGCTCCATGGATCCAATTACTATTTTAGAATTTTCGAGGTTAAACATGTGTAAATTAATAATATAAGATACTACACATGCTATTTTTATATTTTTATATCCTAAATAAGTATTAAAATTAAAAAAAAAATTTGTATATAATTTGTATGCATAACTGTTTTGTCTGTGGATTTCTTCTAAAAAACTTAAAATCTTCCATAGTATCATGCTTGGCCTGACTTATACCAATTCAATATCTAAGTACATGCTTGACATATACTTAGATATTTGTTCATCAATTTTTTTTAAAAAATAATAATAAAGATATTTTGAATTTTGTGCCTATTCTCTTATGCGTAATCGCTTAGTACCACTTCTGAATTGCACGCAATAACTTTTGTTTTTGTTCTTCATCAGTCTCTTTTTTTCCAAGACTCCACTTTTCTTTTCAATTTCTTATTAAATTATTTTTTCACTTAATCACTATAACCACTTAATTTTAGTTACTTAATTTTCACTTAAATTCTTCTTCAGTTTGCTTTTTAGACAACATTTCGATTACAGTCTTACAAAAGTATTTAAAACTTTCTTCAATATTCTTCTAACTATTTAACAAGGCCACTGTACAAGTAAGTTAACATCACTTGTTCTATTAATTATACAAATACCTAATTTTGTTTGATTTGATGTAATTGTGTGTCTCGTTAAAGTCCTTTTCTAAGCTTAAAAATTGGTGCGTTAGAATTTTATTCCATTC